GGGGAAATGAAGCAGGAAGATCAACAGCTAAAAGTAGTAGTCAGCCCCCTTACACCTCTTGAATACTCCCCCCATTGTGCACTCGGCCCCTCAGGTGCTTCTTCGTCTGTTGTTTCTCCACATACATTCACTTCCGAGTCTATCATATTAATGCGTCGCACGCCACCGCGCGCGTGTTGCGAGTGCTCTGCAAACACACGCGAGGAGGCGCACGCTTGGGCTGAACTCAAGGAGCCGCACGGCATGCACGCACGCGCACGCGCACGCACGCACGCACGCACGCACGCACACACGCACGCACGCACACCCACACACACACACACACACACACACACACAAAAGACATGCCAACATGACCGCCCTGCCACACCAAGCGCCCCCACAAGCAGCAACCACCGACACACGCGAGCACGCATCACATCACAACACAACACCACACACCGACCTTCCAGATCAGGTCTTTCTCGGTGAGAACTCCCAGCAGCTTCCCGTCGTCGTCCACCACGGGCGCCCCGCTGATGTCAGCGTTCAGCATAACATGGACTGCCTCCCTGGCGGCAGAGTAAGGGGACAAACATGCGGATATGACGACGGTGAGTAACACGAGTGCGCACAAAGTACACTGGCTTGTTGAGTTGTATTGTGGGGTGCGGGGGCGTGAGTTTGGTGTGGGCCTGTTGCTTGCTGAGGCTTGGCGTGTGCCTGTGGTGAGTCAGTGTGCAGGCGTGCATCGGCTTGTGGCACGACAGGGTGCAAGCTGCGGGCGTCGGCCCATGTGTGCATGGTAGGTGTGGAAGGGCAGGGAATGTGGGGATTGCATTCCTTGGAAACCCCCTGGACCCTGGCTGCAGGTGTTTGTGGGCTGGTGTATGTGTGATCAGGGTGGGGAGTGCACTACATGCGAGAAGGCTGAAGCTGTTGTTTGAAGGAGAGCACAGAGCCCAGCAATGCGGCGCAGCGCCGCCCGCTCAACCGGCAGATACAGAGGGGTCGCAGCAGCAAGCAGGCGGTCCCAGGCGAAGCGAGGCCGCCGCGGCGACCACGCCCGCGCCTGCGCGCCAGCGCCCCGACGCCGCAGCGCCCCTCACTTGATTGGCATGTTGGCGCGCAGCAGCACCGGGTGGGGATTCCTGGAGGCCACGGCAGGCGGACGGGCAGAGGGGCAGGGGCGGGGGCAGGCAGCACAGGGGTCAGGCAAGTTGAGCCACCGCGCGCGGCGCTGATAAGATGGTGCTCGTGAGCGACGCGTCGTCCGACGCAGGAGCCCGCGGCGCGATCAAAGCTGCAGCGTTGCTGCGCGCCGCATCGCCTGATCGAGGGCCGCGCCGGTCTGCCGCGCCGCGTGTTCAAACTTTCCCGGGTGACAGCTGAGGCCGCACCACCCGCGGCCGGCGCCATGCAGCGCAATAAACCCCAGAGGATTTGAAAAGCGGGTAGGCCGCCCGGTGTCATGGCGAACCAATCAACTCGCCCCCGCCGCCCCTAGCATGCTCACATTATCTCCTCTACTGTGGGCTCCCCAGCCGCGCGTGGTGCGCCGGCGCGCTGTGCGTCTGCGGGCGGCGCGGGGCGACGCGGGAGAGATTGCCGCGGATACGAGGGCCGGAGGCGGGGCGGGGTGCGCAGGCTGCAGGGTGGTTCAAGTGATGGGGGGTTGCGGAGGCGATGCAAACCAGCACCCCAAGAAAGGATTCCAACCTGACACTGCGCGCGCCGCGACGCCGCGTGCACGGTGCTCAAGCAACGACCGGCGTGACGGCTGCTGCTGCTGCTGGTGCTGCTGTGGAGGGATACCACCGCGCCTGGGGCGCGATGCGCTTGTGTAGAGGTGCGCGTGCGCCAGCAAGGCGTGCGACCGTGCGATGGGCCGTTGGGCCGCCGTCAATGGCGACTTGCACAAAGTCAAACGGGCATGCATGTTGTGATCCGGGATTATACTGGGTGATAGCGGTCGTGAGCTCGCGTTCAGCAGGGGTTCCGGGAATGATCTCAGGACGACGTGTCGGAAGGACGAAACGGTGGTGCAAGGGTGGAAGTGTTCTTTTGAATCGTCAAGCGACTCATCGACCAGTGCTCACGCTGCTCGGGTTGCGTCGTGAAGACGCGCAGGCACCAACATGCTGACGCCGAGCACGCAAGCGGCGACCAACATAATCCAGGAAAGTCGAGTGATCAGGCCCATGTGAGCACGCTGCAATCTTGCAGATCGCATGATCCACTCAAGCCATGGATGCGAATGCATATGGGGTCCAGGGGTTGCTGGTACCTCTGTGATGACCAGCTGTCAACCTTGGTGCTGGACTGCTGATGCTGAGCCAAACCCCAAATTTGCCCCCATTGCGTAAAGTGGCCAGTTGAGACGCCGGCCACAGCTGAAACAGCACGCTGTGTTACTGGAACGGTGGTGGCGCGGGAACGCAGCAGCTTCCCAACGATGACATCATTGCCCCTCATGGCACGCTCTGAGGGAGCCGGGCGCTGGTGGCAGTCCACGCGTCAAAGCAGCAGCGAAGCGCGGCGTGCATGCTCGCGCAGCCGCTGGTGGGGCCAGCAGCAGCCGGCGCTGCGATGAAGTTGGGCGACCAAGACGGTGCGTTGGGTCTGCGGTGCCAGCGCGGGTGCGGTCGCACGAGATTGATGCTCAAGGGATTGCGGTGAATCAGCCGCGGCCGCCTGATGAGCGAGCCGTGCGCCTCGCGTCGGGCGCCATCAATTGAATTCAGGGGGAATGGCCCCGTTGATGTGACGCAGTGGTTGCGCAGCCACAACGTGAGGCCTCCAGGTTAGGATTAGAACTGGCATTGTTACACAATCCGGCCCCCAGGGCCCATGCAATGCACACACCACAAGTACCCAACAGGACCCACGCAACACGCAAGCACAGCAAAGCAAACAGGATTGGAGAGAAGCGAAGCGTCAAGTCAAACAAGACTGGAAAATAGGTCAATGGCCTGCAAACAGCAGCCCGGCTGCCCCCGCCAGCAACGCCGCCGTCGTCGCAGCGCCTGCGCCAACGCGCCCGCCCTGCCCGCCCCCAGGCGCCGCTGCCTGCTGGGAGCTGCCCGCGGGCGCGTCCGACGCGCCTGGTGCGCTTGGGTCCACAAGCACCACGTTTGGGCCGACGGGACTGAGATCCACCGGCGACGGCGGCGGCGCCGCCGCCGGCGACGGCGCGGGCGCCTGGGCGGCCTGGGCTGCGCGGGTCTGCGCCGCCGCCGCGGGCAGCTGCGACGCCGGCAGGCCGGCCTGGGTCCGCCCTGCCGCCGCCGGCTGGCCCCGAGGCGCCGAGCAGAACGCCTCGATGTTTTTTGATGCGCTCGGCCGCGCCTGGCCGAGGCAAACGAATGAGATGTCGTTCGTCGTCCAGCACTCTGTATACTGCGAGCCCAGCTGGGTGGGGCATTTCACGAGCACAAGCGCCGCGTCGCGTGCGGGATAGCAGTCGCGCTGCGCCTTTGCGCACGCGTTCTTGTAGCACTCTGGCCGGTAGCCGTTGCATTGGGCGTTGCGGTTCTGGGAGAGGAGGGCGTATGCGGCGGTGCCTGCAGGTGCCGGCGAGGGGAGCCCGTTTTGTTTGGCGTGGGGGAGGGGAGGGGGGGTAAGTTACGG